GAAATCATTGACAAGAGTCTTACAAACCACAGCGTGAGGAGACCACAAACCTGCTGGAAAAAGAGTTAAGCCAACTGAAGTAATCCAAAAAGAAACAGGACATAAAAATGCTCAGTTGATAAATAGCTACAGCTACTTTCGAAACAAAAAGGAAATGTCCAGAGTATTTTCTGGGTCAACAGCGGGCACTGCTACGGACTAATATCAAGAACCTGGTAACACGATTGATTATCTAATTAATAAATGACGACAATTGACATGTTTTTTTTTTAGGTCAACTGAGTCACTCAGGTGACCTATTGCTATCCGTTTTCGTCCGTCGTCGTGCGACGTGCGTTAACATTTGAACATTTTTAGCTTCTTCTCTGAAACCGCTCAACCAATTTGGTATATAGCATCTATGGGTGAAGGGGAACAAAATTGTGAATTTCATGGTCCCTGCCCCCCTGGGGCCTGAGGGGTGGGGCTAAAACCACCCAAATTAATGCAATCTTTAAAAATCTTCTTCTTTACTCCTGGACATCAAGCAGTCAAACTGTTGGCATGATTGTAATAAGCATTGAGCCCTCTACCAAAATTGTGAAATTCATGGCCCCAGGGTCAGGGGTTCTGGTGCTACGGCGGGGCTTTGTAGATCATATAGTGAAAAAGCATTATTTCTTTGACAATCTTCTTCTCTGCTCCTGGGTATCAAATAAACTATCTAAGTACATAGTTATGAAGAGCAAGATTGCTTCTTTCAAAATTGTGAATTTCATGGCCTCAGGGTCAGGGGTTCTGGTGTTAGGGCGTGGCTCTATTGATTATATAGTGAAAATGCATTGATTCTTTGAAAATCTTCTTCTCTTGTTCCTGGGTATCAAATAAACTAACTAAGTACATAGTTATGATGAGCAAGAATGCCTCTTCCAAAATTGTGAATTTCATGACCCCAGGATCAGGGGTTCTGGTGTTAGGGCGGAGCTCTATTGACTATATAGTGAAAATGCATTAATTCTTTGAAAATCTTCTTCTCTGCTCCGGGGTATTAAATAAAGTAACGAAGTAAATAGTTATGATAAGCAAGAGTGCCTCTTCCAAAATTTTGAATTTTATGGCCCCAGGGTCAGCAGTTCTGGTGTTAGGGCGGGGCTCTATTGACTATATATTGAAAATGCATTAATTCTAATTTTCTTCTCTTCTCCTGCATATTAAATAAACTAACTAAGAATATAGATATGATGAGCATGGCTGTCTTTTCAGAAATTGTAAATTTCATAGCCACTGGGTCAGGGGTTCAGGTGTCAGGGCGGGGCTCTATTGATTATTTGCATTAATTATTTGAAAATCTTCTTCTCTGCTCCTGGGTATTAAATAAACTAACTTAGTGCAGTTATGATGAGCATGGTTGCCTCTTCCAAAATTGTGAAATTCATGGCCCCTGGGTCAGGGGTTCTAGTGAAGGGGGGGGGGCTCTATTGATTTTATAGTGAAAATGCATAATTTCTTTCAAAATATTTTGTCTACTACTGGTTATAAAGCAAAGAAACAAGTGTAAAGTTATGATGAGCAAAGTGCTTCTTCCAGAATTGTGAGTTCATAGCCCCTGGGTAAGATGTAAGGGGGGGGGGGCTTTATTTATTTAAAAATATAGTGAACATGCATTTCTTTGAAAATCTTCTATGCCTCTGGGCATATTCGAGGCAAACAGAGTAAAAGTTTTAATATGCAAGAGTATTTTTGCCAGAATTTTGAACACCTGGATTATTTAGTCAAGTGTTCTGGTCCTGGCCAGGGCTCTATGAACTTGTATTCTGCTGAGTTATTCCCCTTTGCCAATCACCTTTGCTAATTAATCACTGTAAATAATGTATTTGAAAGGTTAATAGAATAAAGGAATGATGCAAGAATATTTATTGTATAATACAAAAAGTACTTTCATAGTTTTAATGATCAGGTAGACTTGGAAATAATAGATGAATAAAAGTGAGGCAAAAATAATTTATCTTTTTTAATGTTCTTCAAAGGCCAAGAGAGACCAATGTGAGAAGTAGTAATATGGGGTTAAAAATAGACATTTTGTTAATAGTCTGCATGATAAGAGTGATAAATGGGGGATAGATAGATTCCATACCAATTATTTTGTTGATGCTTATCATACTATTTTTCTTGCTTTTGGGCAACAAAGCTTCATTTATCAGTTTATGGATCCTCTAAATTGGTGTATTGTACTCAGGTGACCGTTAAGGCCCTTGGGCCTCTTGTTTATATACAAGTCGTTCAGATTACCTGCATTCATGTGTTGTTGTTTTTTTTTGCAATTGTATATTTTGTTTTAAAACGATTTTATTTTACGTAAAAAAATAACTGTTTGAAGCATGGTTAAATTATGAACTGGTTTTATATACTACTAAGAATATAAACTCTAAATGTTTCGTTTTTAAGAACAGTTACCATATTTCTTGTTTTCCCATAGAGGAGAAATTCAGTTAATCGCCAAATTCGTTATACCGCAATAATTTTTAAATTACAAAAGATGGCAGTGTATCGAAAATTAACTGTACTAAGCAAGACAGTCCAGGTAATTGAGATGTCAGCGCTTGTAAACGCTGAACAACAGTAGTTGATTTTCTTTGTTGATCCTCCATAATTCTGAGAAAAAATGGAATAACTAAATATATCCTATGAAAGAAGCTTGAACAATTTCAGAATGCTAGCCTTAGTGGAATATCAGATACAATAATATGCCTTGAAGAAATATAAATTGCTGTAAAATGTAGCAGTGTGTATAAATTTGTTTTCTCCTGAAGTGTTGTAAAGAGTTAACTCTTTACAACTTACTGAACTGTGACGCAACATACACTTAATGTTCACGTCACAGAAATGTGACGTTACCTTTTCCCCGCAAGCACTTATAGCGAGGTACAAGTTTCTCTAAAGTTTAGCGTAAATAATTATGACGTAATAATTTAATAAGATTATAACTTTTCTTATTTTATGAGATTTTAGCAAGTATAAATTAGAAGGGAATTGGCATTAAATTGATGATTAAATTTACTTTTGAAAGTGCGTGAAAAATGCGTGGTTGCGGGGAAACGGTATATGCGTGAATTTGCGTTAGAAATAGGAAATGGTATATGCGTTAAAATGCGTGACTGCGGGGAAGAGGGTTAATAGTGATCAATATTTTTTAAACTTTCATTTCTTGTGATTCAAGTGTATTATAAAAACACTTCGTCTCTTTGATTTTAGACCTGGTGTTGGCCATTGGGTGCCGGCTGAGGCCGAAACACTTTTCGGTCAATCCCAGAGACATTCATCATACCTCACTTCAATTATTTTGTTGTATTTTTTGTATTATCAGCATTTCATTCTTCAATTTCGTTTAGCTCATGTCTTCAATTGAAATTCATTCTGTTATTTTACTCATCTTTGTCTTCAGTATATCATTTAAATGTATATTTTCCTGAGGGGCAAATTTCAAAAAAAAAACCGTCATACTAAAAAGCATTCAAAAGGAAAATAAAATTGGAGTAGGAAAACATTTTCTGTATGTGCTATCTTGGTGTCATACGCAAAGAGAATGAAAACGTTAGTTTTGAGCAAGATTGACACAATTAGTCATGATAAATATTTCATTCCAGAGGACGATATAACGACATGCTAATTGGGTGAATACGAATCACGGATTACCGAAATAAAGAGAATGTTAAATTAAAGAAAAAAAATATGGTTTTGAATCGAATCGTTTCTACCCTAACAAAAATACTTTAGTAAACTATAGTTAACTATAGTTTACTATAGTTAACTATAGTAGATCAAAGTTTCAAAGTTATCACTATAATAAATCAAAGTTTTCAAAGTGATCACTATAGTGTCATAGTGATCACTTTAGTAAATCGTAGTTTTCATAGTGATAACTATAATAAATCAAAGTTTTCAAAGTTATCACTAGAGTAAATCAAAATGTCAAAGTTATCACTATAGTTAACTATAGTTTTCATACTGTCAAAGTTATCACTATAGGTAACTATAGTAAACTATAGTTAACTATAGAATTTTTGTTAGGGTAAGAGTGTCATATGTTTGAAACACATAGTCATATTCTAGAGACCTTTATTTGAATTTTATATAAGACCTAAAACAACATTGCTTATTTAAAGCGAAAAGCGAAAAAAAAAATAATTTAAAGTTGTTAAGTAATCATCAGAAGGTATTTCTTACTTCGTTAGCCCAAATTTTGGCTAAGCAGTATCTTGCACCAAGAAAGCTTTTGTATAACCTATCAGTTACGGTTTTTCAATGGATTACATCTGTCATATTTTCATGTCTTTCATCAAGTATCTAAAATCATGGATACATCATTTGAAATTTTACTGTGGAGCAGACTTCATGCGATGCGTTATTATGCGCGATCAATTTGCAACTGGACCACTATTCACATAATTACAAACGCATACACAACTTTTTTTTTAATCTTTTATTTGAAACACAAATGTTATGATCGCCCATATGAACAGAAAAATTAATGGATGTTGAATACAATAAGAATACATGTATTATGTACATTTTCATACTGAAACACAGACGATCTGTAGCCTAACCCCCACTCCATCCCACCCCAAGAACACACAACTTTTTCAACGATTAAAAAAAAAACTGATATAATATATACATTTGTCAGTATTTGCTAGTTGTAAGTGTAAAACCCTGATATTAGATTTAAATATACCTTTATATTGTACAAATGTTTAAATGCAGACAAAATAATGGTTTGGCTTACAATCGACCTATTTACCATTAAAAAAATTGTGATTTTTGTTACTTGATGGAAGTAATGGTAAGTTTTTGATATAAACAGAAACAAATTTCATACAAAATGGTCTCTGTAAGAGTGAAAAATTCTCGAATGAGACGTAAGACAACATACAATCGATCAATCATATAAAAAATAGAGTCCAAGAATATTGACACCCACGAATTAAAATGATTCCACAGTAGACACTCATTAGAAAGCTGCATCATTGGTTGCAGTAAATATTTTCCTCAAATGGGTCCTGTTGTTCCCGGATGTAATGTAAGACAAGATCGTATATCATTTTATACTCCTCCTGCAACAAAAATATACAGCCATGAATATGGCCGGGGCATATAGTGTTTGTCATGTCCGTCTTCCGTCCTTCCGTGTCTCTTTCTGTCACGCTTTGCGTTTAGCTCTGTTCAAAGCTCGGTTTCAAAGAAACTATCCAAGATATTTTTATCAAACATACGCTGATAGATATTGATGAGAGCTATGCAACTACATCAACATTTTTTGACCTTGACCTTTACTTTGACCTTGACCTCACTCTTCTTAAGTTAGTGTTTAGCTCAGTTTTTAAGATACCATTCAAGGTAATGTAATCAAACTTCATATGTTCATACATACTGATGTAAGCTATTCAACTGAATCAACATTTTTTGACTTTGACCTTTCCTTTGACCTCACTTTTCTTAAATTAGTGTGTAGCTCAGTTTTAATGAAATCTTTCAAGATATTTTTATCAAACTTCATATGTTGATACATACTGATGAGAGCTAATTCAACTGCATCAACATTTTTTGACCATGACCATTCCTTTGACCTTGACCTCACTTATCTTAAATTAGTGTCAAACTTCATATGCTGATACATACTGATGTAAGCTATTCAACTGCATCAATATTTTTTGACTTTGACCTTTCCTTTGACCTTGACTTCACTTTTCTCAATCTGTGTTTAACTCAGTTTTAAAGAAATCATTCATAATATTTTTATCAAACTTCATATGCTCATACATACTGATGTAACCTTTTCAACTGCATCAATATTTTTTGACCTTGACTTTTCCTTTGACCTTAACTTCATTTTTTTAAATTAGTGTTTAGCTCAGTTTTAAATAAACCACTCAAAATATTTTTTCAAAACAAATATACTGATACGTATTTGTGCAAGTATTAACTGCATCAAAAACATTTGACCTTGAACTTTCCTGTGACCTTGACTTCACTTTTCTTAGATTTGCATTTTGTTTAATTTCAAAGAAACCATTTAAGATTAATTTATGTAAGTTTATGTACATACATAATTTGGTGAGAATTTATCATCTGTATCCAACTTTTTAGATTTCAATTTCAATTTTAAAGGAACTTTTCAAGATATTCTCATCAAATTTCATACACTAATACAAATTTTCATGTTGCATTACAAATATACCCTCGGCGGGGAATTCATGTTCTATGGACATTTTCTAGTTTATTGTCTTTCTCTTATCGTTGCACAAAGTAAACACACATAAGGAATTACAAATACACTGAACAAATGTATATGCAATGTAAATTTATTTTTAATAGAATTTACCATGGTGGAGCACAGTTCTGGGCGTCTTATCTGTAACTGCCGGACAAAAGAGAAAATATCCACCTCCCCGTCCATAGATAACTGTTGAAGTACGTTATATACAGCACAGAACACTCCACACAGGACTGCTCCATCACTTAATATCAAAGCAATATTAGAGATCAAACCCTCTTTCTACCATAGAATTACAAAATACCACATAAGATGATATAGATTTTTTTTTTATTTTGAAAAAAAATTAACAAAAAGTTTATCATTCCATTCAATAAAAACAAAACGTAATAGTGCTGTTATCTATAAAGACTAATTAAGGGCAACTAGGAATTTTGACTCACTGTTAAAAATTTAGAATTTTATCGAATATTGTAATATGATCTTTAATAGTCCATGGGTTTTTTATATCTCATCCTATACAGAACTAACGATTATTACAGTTTTTTTTACTAATCATAACAGTATTGAGTTTTCCTCTGAATAAATTATGACTCAATCACAACTTTTGGTCCTAACGTACTGTTTCCTTATTTAATTAACAAAATTGATAATATAAATTTGTTTTCCAAATACCCTAAGACCTTGAAAATAAGCCGGATTTAATAATAAGCCACCTATTTCTTGCATTGAAAATTACTCGAAAATAAGCCTGTTTTGAAAATAAGCCGGTCATGACAATGTCATTTAGGAAAGATTTTAAACTAAAAAGTGTTTCTTTTTTCTACATGCAAGATATTGAACACAGTACTGTTTTAATTATTTCATTTTATTAAAAACATTCCATGACGTTTATGATTAGATTCCAAATGAAATGTTTAAAATTTGATGAAACCATTAAAATTCAATTTAAGTCCAATATTTGGATTTAAATTTTTTTAAAAAATCCTTAGGCATGATGGAACTTCAACTCTCAGGTATAGTTCAAACACTACACGTAACACTAAAATATAGGGCTGTACTGGAGTTGTCACACTCTCAGTTTCAGCTCAGCCGCGACTGCATTTGAAGTCGGAATATACAAGTTTGATGAGACCGTATAAACCGAGGTCCCGTGTCGCAGTAGGTGTTGGCACGAAAAAGATCCCTCACTGCTCAATGGCCTTGAGTGCCGAGTATAGGTCAAAATTTGTAGCTCTCCACCGCCAAGTGGTGGCGTCTCCATTTGAATGAAAAATTCTCGAGAGGGACGTTAAACAATAATCAAAAAAAACTTTAAAAATCTTCTCCTCTGCTCCTGGGTATTATTTAAACAAACTGAGTACTAAGTATATTGTTATGATAAGCAAGGATGCCTCTTTTAAAATTGTGAAATTCATGGCCCCAGGGACAGAGGTTCTGGTGCTAGGGCGGGGCTATATAGATCCTATAGTGAAGGTGAATTATTTCTTTGAAAATCTTTTCTCTGCCCCTGGGTATTTTATAAAACAAACTAAGTACTTTGTTATGATATGCAAGGATGCCTCTTCCAATATTGTGAACTTCATGGCCCCAGGGTCAAGGGTTCTGGTACAAAAAAGGGGGGGGGGTGCTCCATTGATTATATAGTGAAAAAGCAAACTTTGTTTGAAAATATTCTTTTCTGCTTCTGGTTAAAAAGCAAAGAAGCTAAGTGTATAGTTATGACGAGCAAGAGTGCTTCTTCCAGAGCAGTGAATTGCATGACCCCTGGGTCAGATGTGCTGGTGTAAGGGTGGGGCTCTTGATAATATAGTGAAAATGTATTAATTCTATTAAATAATTCTGTCTGCCCCTTACTGTTAAGCAGATTGATAAAAAAAGTGATTACTTATGATGAGCAAACTTCTGGTCCCAGGGCAGGGTGAGAGGCTCTGGTGTTTCTCTGTGGAGAAGGGGGGGGGGAGGGCTCTATTGATATTATAGTGAATTTGTAGTAAAAATGCATTATTTCTTCTCTGCACCTTGGCATATCATAGGTAAAAAGAGTAAAAGTTTTAATAATGAAGGGTGTTTTACCAGATTTTTGAACATCTGGACGATTTTGTCAAGTGTTCTGTCCTGGCCAGGGCTCTATTAATTTGTTTTCTACTGAGAGGAGTTATTCCCCTTTGCCATTTACTTTTGATAATTAATCACTGTTAATAATGTACTTGAAAGGTTAAAAGAATAAAAGAATTATGCAAGAATTTTTTTGGTATAATACAAAAAGTACTTTCATAGTTTTAATGATCAGGTAGACTTGTAAGTAATAGATAAATAAAACTGAGACAAAATAACTTGTTTTATTAAAATGTTCATCAAAGACCAAGAGAGGCCAATGTAAAAGATTTCAACAAGGAATTAAAATAGTACAGAAGCACTGATAGTTTGTTAATATACTGTATGGTGATAGTGATGAATGGGGAACAGATTAGAATCAAATTTATGAACTGTTAATGAATACTAGACTAATTATTGATTATTTTGTTGATCCTGATCACCCTATTTTTCTTGCTTTTGGGCAACAAAGCTTCACCTTTCAGTTCATTTTATACTCTATGGATCCTGTAAATTGTTGTATTATACTCAGGTGACCGTTAAGGCCCTTGGGCCTCTCTTTTGTTTTGATAAGCCGCGATTTGAAAATAAGACGGTTTTGAAAATAAGCCCCTCTTTCTTACCAAAACTTAAATAATCCGCGACTCATTTTCAAGGTTTCAGGGTATACACTAATATTGTATACACTGCATACACTTCAGGGTATCAGCAGGTTGCAAAATTACAAAATATCATACAATTCTAGAAATGTGAAAGAGTTTATTTTTGATAAATTGTATTTGTCACGTAGATGACATTAAAGAATATGAAAAACTAAGTCTAAAGCGATTTGCAATGCCATAAATTCAAATAATTTGATGGGGTTATATTTTTGTGGTATGAGGAAAACCAGTTTGATAATGGAGAATTTATTTCTTGGTCATTAAAGTGTTGCTTTGATAAATACAATGTATATGAAATTTCACTTTCCTTGAGTTTATGAATTCGTGTGTCTCTTCAGCCCACAAAACACTGAAAATTAAACTCTCAGTGAAAATTAGCGGTTTCACAGTTACATTTGTAACAATCTATAATGCATGAATCACCTGCTGACAATCGTTATAGGACCCTCTGTTTCACTTTGGAGAGCAAAGGAAACCAAGCGTAACATCTGCGCTGTAGCTTGGGGATCTTCTTTTTTAATACCTCCTGTTGGTTCTATAATTGACACTGAGCAACCGTCCTCATTTTTCTATAAGAGAATTGGTTAAATTTGCTACTTAAAGCAAGGCATTAAGATACTCAAGCAAGTATTCGAATTGAAACAATTGCCCTTACCAGTCCTATCTACCACGTCTTTGTACTCACCCCTTCCTGGGAGATGCTGATTGTTGTACATTTAATATCTGTTACTTGTTCACAACCACAGTGTACAGTTAATGGGGAGACACTCTTTGAAGTGTTGGTACCCGGCAGCCAATGTTTTGTCTGTAATTCAAGCAAGAGGACTAACTATGCAAACCAGAGTCAAACCATGTGCTGCTGTTCTTTACAGGAATTTTTCCAGCGTTCGATGTTAAAGTCTGAGCCCATATTGTAACCATACCTAACTTAAAGGGGCCACGATATAAACAATTTTCAGTCTATTCTTCAAAAATATATTTGCCTATTAATATGATTTATTATGATTATTTTGTTCCTTTAGAGAAGATTTTTAAAGACATTTTCTTTTATATTCCAATGTTAAATTTCGTTCCCATCTTACTGCTAGGGGTCATAATAAACTTAAAACTGGGGATGGTTGCATATTAATATGACTATGTTTGTTCTCTTGTTTTTAAAAAGAAATTCAAAAATATGCTTTCCACTATTTAAGGGTAAATACCTGATACCCTATTCTGGGCCCATCCTAGCACCGGGCTTTGATTTGAACATTTTTTTCGTTTCAATATACATGTAAGTCATCGTACCCCTGCCTTTCTTTTAAAGATGCCTTTTTATGCTTTCCCTTTATATATTTCATGAAACAAGAGAACGTGGCTTTTCAGTTGAACAATTTTGATTCCTATTCACCCCTGGCTGCTTTGTGGCAAGTTTTGATGGAACTGGCGCAATGGGTATGGAACAATTTACAGAGACTAAGGCATACAATTGACCACAGATGCTCTTTGATCAGAAAAGTTCAACTTGAAACTTTTGCTTACAATACATGTACCTAAAAGTAAATTACACATAACAAATATCAATTGACGAATTCTTATGCACAGAAAATGTATTGAACGTAAAAACACCTCTACAGCAACTTACCGATTCTATATTTCCAAGACAATCAAAACAAATCACAACGTCTGAGTCCTGATCAGTGAGCAGGCGCAGGAAGTCCACGGCGTCCTCTGGTGAGGGATAACGTGTTACTATGAATGCCTCGTTTTTGATGTAAGACTAAAATTAACATGTAAGTAAAAATCAATTTTTATTTATTCCACAAAGAATAGAGAATCTAAATAATTTTCATTTGCATATTAATTTTGCTAAGTTATCAGCCTAAGAAGATAAAAGACATCCAAGGTCTAATCTTCGTTTGGCAAACCTTTGAACCTGACTGATTCATACCTTTTCTGTAGTATCCCTTATATCTCAAACTTTTAAAGTTAAACATAGAGTTCTTTACTTATTTTTTTGTTAAATTCTAGGCATGAAACCTAATTTCAAAAACAGGTTACGTACAGGAAGAGCAACGGCATTGATGTAGTTCCCACGTTTTGGTACAGGTGAAGACAGGAAGACACTGTATTTGTCAACTGCCAAAAAAAAAAGAAAGAAAGCAGAACCTCAAAAATGCATAATAATGTGGAACGTTACACGGATATATGTAAACAGCGTTTAATCTTTATAAATTTCATTTTCAGCACTGGATTAAAAGACCACATATAATTAATTAATTATGCAACAACTTTTATTTTCAAGTAAAAGCAAGTCACTAAATACATTGTACATTTCTGCATTTTACAGGTGTTTTTTTTTCATTTTTATTGACTTAGTCATTTCGGGTTCATGTCTAAGGTTTGAGACATAGAATCTAGAATATCTGTACAAAAATGTGAACTACAGCTTAAAATTACTTATTAGAACTAAAAAAAATCACAAAGTATTAAAAACAGGTTTACATTACACAGCAGATAGTGTAAATCCATTTGTCCCTTGTGAGTAATGAGTGGACATGCATCCAGTTAAAGATTAATTAATGAGTTCAGTGTGGGAAGCTGTTAGAGCATCTCTGATCAAGCAGGTCTTATCTATATCTCCTGGGAATTGGGCAGAAAGAAATAAAGATCTCTGTTGTCTAAGTCTCTTAATTGTAATTTATGTCTGTCAAAATACATAGTTACTGGAACCAGCCTTTTATTTTTAATATGAGTTGGTTATAAAGGTCTTAAGATCAATTTGATTCTGTATAATTAATTATGATTTTTTTTTTCAACAATCAATTTGCAGAGTGACATGTCTCACAATGATGGCAGATAGTTGCAAACTATTTTTTCAATGAAATAAAAAAACACTGTAATTATTAGTATTGATGTTTTATTAGGCTGCACCTTAGTTTCATTCATTAAAAAAATACAATGAGTAATTAAATTTTCACTCTAAATGTTTAAGAAAATTGTGAACGCCTCTCACATCTGGAAAACATGTGATTTGGTACCTTCTCTGAAAAACCCAGCGGAGGGTATTTGTCCCTTTTGGACAGTTCTAGTTTATTTGAAGTTCGTCAATAAATTTCATAGAAATGACTTACGAGGAAGAACAGCTGATTTATTTTTCTCGCTATGTAAAGCAAACGTGTAATCCACTTCTGTGTACGACGGCCGCACTCGTAGAAGATTCTGAATTTAAAATCAGTTTTGAGTTGCATAATATCTATTTATTAACGGTTTTACTTTATTGAAGCTGAAGAAATATGTTGTAAATTATACGATACTGGATAATATTCCTAATATCAACATGTATCTCTCAGATTGAATTTTGAGAATCCGTTCAGCTTAGATTTAAAAGACCATGTATTGATCAAAATATTCTTAAATAACCTGGAACTCCTTTCTAAGTTCACTCTCATTGGCAGGTCTATCTCGTGACATCAAATCTGTTCTCCTCAGGAATTCCGATTTGGTTTGTACACATGTCGGAGCTTTGAACATGACATCAAGTGCCAGAAATATGGTCATGTACTGCTCCTGAAAGGAAAAACAAACCCAAACTATGAAATTTATGTCAAATTCAAACCTACATACTTATGCAGATTTTAAAGTACATCTTTTATTTTGTAATAATATATCTCTTTTAGTCAGTATAACCAATAACAAAGGTGAATAAAGCAATTAAAGTTTTTTTTTAAATACTTTCATTAAAATATATAAATGCTTTTCTAGATTTAAGATCCATTTCTGTAATGACTTGATTTTTTATACAGGTACGATAGCACAGAATTCCTCCAAACTCTCTTCGATATAAACTCAAATTATGCAAAAATTTGTTGCTATCTACATGATTATCATGGCAACATGCCTCAAAGTTAAAAAATGCCATTTTTGAGCTGTTCATACTAATGTGGAAAAGTGACGATAACCGTTTCAAAAATTTATAAGCATGATCTTAACTGTACGTTAAGCATATTGATGAAACCAAGTTTTTCATACCTTCTATGGAAACAAAGTATTCAAAAGTAATAATTTGTGATTTTTTTTATAAAGTCGTACCGTCAAAAATGAAAGCAATTGTAGGTTAATATGCAATCAATCAATAGATAAATAGAGGATATGTTTTGAAGATGGAAATGGAATTTATTTCACTCGTGGGACAGGATTTTTTTATATTTTCACGAGTGCGAAACACGAGTGAAATTATAAAAAAAAATCCTGTCTCACGAGTGAAATAAATTCCAAATTCATCTACGAAACATTGAATTTTCTGTTTATTACATTTTCTTTGATTTTCCCTTTGCCCCAGTCTTTTCGTAACACAGTCCTTAGGCTGTGACGTCATAGTTAAGCGGTTGAGACGTCATAGTGTAGCGATTGATTGAAAAACGTTGTAAACATGGATTTTAGGTCACCTGAGTCACTCAGGTGAACTATTGCTATCCGTTTTTGTCTGTCGTCCTGCGTTAACATTTAAACATTTTTAGCTTCTTCTCTGAAACCGCTCGACCAGTTTCTACCAAATTTGGCATATAGCATCTATGGGTGAAGGGGAACAAAAATTGTTAATTCCATGGTCCCTGCCCCCCTGGGGCCTGAGGGGCGGGGCTAAAACCACCAAAATTAATACAATCTTTAAAAATCTTCTTCTTTACTCCTCGACATCAAGCAGTCAAACTGTTGGCATGATTGTAATAAGCATTGAGCCCTCTACCAAAATTGTGAAATTCATGGCCCCAGGGTCAGGGGTTCTGGTGCTAGGGTGGGGCTATATATATCATCTAGTGAAAGTGCATTATTTATTTGAAAATCTTCTCTGCTCCTGGGTATTAAATAAACTAACTAAGTACATAGTTATGATGAGCATGGCTGCCTCTTCCAAAATTGTGAATTTCATGGCCCCAGGGCTAGGGGTTTTGGTCATAGGGCGGGGCTCTATTGAATATATAGTGAAAATGCATTAATTCTTTGAAAATCTTCTTCTCTGCTCCTGGGTATTAAATAAACTAACTAAGTACATAGTTATGATGAGCAAGAGTGCCTCTTCCAAAATTTTGATTTTCATGGCCCCAGGGTTAGCAGTTCTGGTGTTAGGGCGAGGTTCTATTGATTATATAGTGAAATGCATTAATTCTTTGAAAATCTTCTTCTGTGCTCCTGGGTATTAAATAAACTAATTAATTACATAGTTATGATGAGCAAGCGTGTCTCTTCCAAAATTGTGAATTTCATGGCCCCAGGGTTAGGGGTTTTCGTGTTCGGGCGGGGCTCTATTGATTATATAGTGAAAATGCATTAATTCTTTGAAAATCTTCCACCATTTAATCAAGTGTTCCGGTCCTGGCCAGTGCTCTATTAACTTGTATTCTGCTGAGCAAAGTTATTCTCCTTTGCCATTCACCTTTGATAATAAATCACTGTAAATAATGTATTTGAGTGCTTAATAGAATAAGAGAATTATGCAAGAATATTTATTGTATAATACAAAAGGTACTTTCATAGTTTTAATGATCAGGTAGACTTGGAAGTAATAGATGAATAAAATTTAGACAAAAATAACATCTTTTGTTAATTGTTCTTCAAAGGCCAAGAGAGGCCAATGTGAGAAGTAATAATATAGGGTTAAAAAATAGACAGTTTGCTAATAGTCTGCATGGTAATAGTAACTAGTTATAATTGTAACGGGCACCGTTACAGATGTTCCCCAAACGCTCCCCAACTCCCTTTTGGTGTCTTATTTCCTGTAAGCTTCATTTAATAAGGCAATGAAGTATATTGGTCGTTTTTTCCATTTCACGCGCGCGCACGTGCATGCATGTGCAGTATGACCATGTCATCCCGTCTATACTATTAATGTATCTTTATATTCTCAGTATCAAAACATTTCATCAAAAATATATAAGTTCCGGCTATATCAAGTATACTGGTCATCTAAGCATTGCGCGCACGCGCACCTGCATACATGTTCATAATGACCATGCCATCTTGTCTACACTTATAATATGTCTGTTTATTCTTAGTATCAAAGCTTTTCATCAAAAAATATAAAAGTTACGGCTATATTAAGTATATGAATCATTTAACACATTGCACGCGCGCGCATGTGCATGCATGTGCATGATGTCCACATCATCTTGTCTACACTTGTAATATATCTGTATATTCTTAATATCAAAGCTTTTCATCAAAAAATATAAAAATTACGACTATATTAAATATATTGGTCATTCAACACATTGCATGCGCGTGCACGTGCATGCATATGCATGCATGTGCATGATGACCATGTCATCTTGTCTACACTTTTAATATGTATAAATATTTTGAGAATCAAATCATTTCATCAAAAAATATAAAAGTTACGACTATATCAAGTAAATTGGTCATTTTACGTTTTGCGCGTGCGCGCACGTGCATGCATGTGCATCTTGACCATGTCATCTTGTCTACACTTTTAATATATCCTTGTATTCTGAGTATCAAAGCATTTCATCAAAAAATATATAAGTTACAGCTATATCATGTATACTGGTCATTTTACGCATTGCACGCGCACGCACGTGCGTGCACGTGCGCGCAAAATGACTTTCGTTTTGCAAATTTACATAACATACCTAGTAACCCTAAAAAGGTTTTAACTCAATTGGATGTGCAGTTTCTGAGAACACTCGCGGACAAAAAAGTACCGGAGAAGAAATAAGAATAAAAAAGAATAATAATAATAATAACTAGACTCTTGTTGCCATGGCAACAAAAAAGTCTTCCGTTCTTCTAAATCTGTAAGAATTTGCTTTTTTCTGTGTAAAAACATACATATCATATTTACTGTGAAAGGAAAAAGTCCTGTCAGTACTTAAGGTACTTTGATTTTCATTATCAATCTCGTATAATACATTTGGCACCTATAAGAGATATACGTATATCATTAGCAATTTAACAAAAAATTGTTTGCAATCATTTCTAAGTCAAACAAACAGATGAACGAACACCGTACTATCATAAACTTCACAGTGTGTATGTTTAGGCATAATTGTGATGGTGGTATAAAAAAATATAATGAATTAAGTTAGTATCACATTAAATGTAAAGTCACTGAGTTTTGTAAAGTTATAATATCAAGATCTGACAGCATACCTATAAGACAGATTATTCAATTACAGTAATTCTTCAGCAATCGATTGATTGATTATACGTATATGTGTTGTTTAACGTCCCTCTCCAGAATTTTTCACTCACATGGAGACGCCACCACTCGCCGGTGGAGACTGCAAATTTTTGTCCTATACTTTGGCATTTATCGCAATTGAGCAGTGGGGAATCTTTTTTATGCCAGCACCTTCTGCGACAAGGGACCTCGATTTATACGATCTCATCCAAAGGACCGGTCTCCACGTCCCACAATCGAAGTTCATAATACCGAGATATTTTATTTTTTATTTTATTGTATTTTTTCACAAGTTTGTTGCATAAGATTTACTTAGAGATCATACTTCAAGAGCATTTCGAACTCAGGCTACTTAATTGCAGTGCATACAGCGTCAAGTGATTTTGATTGACAGGTCAACACACGTGCACTTTAAGCTGAAAAATATACAGGATGTGACCATGACTGACTATGAAATCAGAAAACATTTAATAAAGAATGGGTGTGACCGATATAGAATTTATTTTTGGTCTATGTAAATGGATAGGAGGATAGGGATTAAGAGGGAATCTCTCTCTCTCCCCCCCTCTCTCTCTCCCAGACGTAAATTGAACATTTCACAATGACAAATCTACCATTATAGAATATGAAATTCTGTATACATGTAAATGGTAATTATATTCACATGTTCCAGATTTAAATCTAAAACGAATATATAATTCAAATGCCTAGCTGCACGAACGTCTTCAAATATTAATCAAGATGGGGGGTGGGGGGGGTGGGGTGACTTCAAAGGAATTAGATAGTTTTATGTTTTATGAATTATAAGGAAAAGTACGGACGTCAGTTGCATGTACATAATTATATATCATTGCATAAAATTGTGTTCATTCAGGTATACTTATCCCACATATCAAGAGACCTGTGCAATTTTTTAATCATGGTTTTTTTTTTCAAAAGAAACATATAGCGTACCATTATTTCACACAGAATCGCGTTTTCACATTTTTTTTTTAACTCTTTGAGTATTTCACAAGAATCCAAGAATCGTCTTTTCACATATTTTATAATTCCTTGGGTATATAGAGTATAGATCATGTGTCATAAATAATTTAACTTTTTATCAAATATACATGTAATAACCAAATCTAATCTATAGATTGACTTTCTTTCTTTAAGTAGCAGATGTCAATTTATTTATAAAGGCTTTAAAACAGTACTGTATTACAGTTTTCTATCACTCAATTCCTTTTTGAGTGTATGTAATATTTTTTTAATATCGAAAATAAAACTCGGAAATCGGGATAATTTCGCATTCAAATCATTGAGAATAATAAATCGTCTGCATTATAGAATGCTTATAACTATCGTATTCTGAACTTACTATACGAGATAGATAAAATTGCATGCCTGTCCATCACTATAAATGTATATTCAGTGCTTATAATATATTTACTTGAATTAGGTACCTAGCATATATATTAATTTTTTTTTTAGATATATTCATGTGTAAATCAATTAACTGTCAATACAGACTTACACTACATCAATACAGACTTACACTACACTGGCAACTTTAAACTATACATGCACTGGAAGCGGTAACCAACGTACTCTTACATTTAGAAGAGTGAATATGGAACGTCTAAATATTTTGATATGGAGAGTGGAGAGTATATATGTCTTTGACGTCATCGATACTATTTCCGCCTTTATCTCGAAAGTTCTATTCTCACTTACAAGTCAGAGTTATCTTTCTTTGCCCATTGTTTACACACTAGGTAAATAGGGAAAATGACGGTACCGAAAATCTGCAAAATGTGGAATCTGATTTCAAAACAAATTATATATTTAGTATTTGTAGAATAACCTCTGTTATACATAATAATATCTTGAAAAAATATTAAAAAACAAAAAAGTTGAAAATTGACCAAACACAAGTTCACTTCCGGTTCGGACAGGAAGTACCGGAAACACACGAAAACAACTTCGAAACAAAGACAATGTCATGATCTAATACTCCTGTAAATTTCACATCTTTACCTCAAACCGTTTCCGAGAAAAATTCCGGACAAAAGTCCATTTAAAAATTGGAAATTCGGCCGTAACTTCGGACCGGAAGTGAATTTTTCAAAAAACGGAATTTTATATAAACTTCATATATCGGCCTACTATCATGTGAAAAATTGTGAAAATCTATCCAACCATTTCTGAGTAATCGCGCTCACAAAATTTGGGAGGAATAATAATAATAATAATAATAATAATAAAAAGAAACAATACAATCACTATAAGTCTTCCGTTGTGAACGGAAGACTTAATAATAATAAGAAACCGAGTAAAAACAATATGTTCCCAAACTTCGTTTGGGGAACATAATAAATCAGTTTATGGACCCTCTAAATTGTTGTATTGTACTCAGGTGACAGTTAAGGCCCTTGGGTCTCTTGTTAACAACATGAAAGAAACTTTGGCAGTTTTAGTCTCTGACAGGATGGTTCATTTATTCTATCTTATGACAGGCCAGGGAGTTTTTTTTTTTAAATTCTTCGTGAAGGGAAGAAAAATCGAGTTTTGCCGCACTTCTGATATTATATCAAACTGTGAGAATGCCATTTTGATACCCTTTCACACAGTGTCAGAATATCACTTTTATTCAATAAATAATTTACAGTATTTCACTGTTGAAAATGTAAAAAAATATACTTGTAACATATTTTCAGGAAGAAATATGATATTTAATTTCATATTGGTTAGTAATGGTTTTAATACCACAAAGTATCCTTTTAAAAGTGTAAATTACTTTATAACTTGACATCAAATCTTAAAGGCAAGCCAATGGTGTGGCCTTAAATTTTAAATTTCAAACATTCAATTTTAATTCTTAAAACAGAATATTCCTATGGAAATTATAGGTAAAAAATATGTATGAAAAGCTGCAGGATGTTTTGTTTTCTTGGATACGTACCATTATATGTGGATTTCAAAAGTTTTTCTGATTGATATTTATTGAAAACTAACCTGACCTTTAATTTGGACTACTCCGAAATCCCTAATTGGATGCAGGAAAATACTATTTAGGGCTCAATATAGCTATGAAGTTAATACAATTGAACACTGTCTTTTTTGTAATCATATCAATAGTGTTATCTTCTTCGCCAAGATTAATAAATAAATAATATTCAACTTTATGTTGATCAGATAAGTGCAATTCAAAATCAGTCAAATAATATATTTCTTGACTAAATGGTACATCGTAACTAAAGTCATAAAACTGTTTCAATCTAGCAATTAATCCCGATTTTACTTATGCTATCTGTGTTACAAGTCACTAATGATGTATATTTTTGCCAGTCTTAAAATATTCATTTTTTCCTCAACATAGATGCATTTATCCAAACTTAGCAACATATTTTGTTTGCTACATTTTTTATGTGTTATATGACAACTGTTTTTTTTTTTTTTTTTTTACAATAAAATGACTAATACCTTATCATGAAAGTTCAATTTTTTCATTACTTTTCTTGTGTTGTTGACTTTGTTTGATCATATAACACCTATCATTAGTAAATATTGAGCACTTTCCAGCATTGTTCAGCATTTACGATGTCTTCCATATGTGCCCATGGTTATCACGTACTTAGAGAAATATTCTAAAATTAAATTCTAAAAACTATAAGTAGCGATAAGGTATAACTTTTTTGTGAGAGTGGTTTGTTTGATTTTCTTAGACGAAAATCTTATTTTTCAATTTTTTTTCGGACGTTGCTATTTCAACCTAAACGCATAGCAAATAGAGTTTATTTGATTATGAATCTAGTGTCAAGCTTTAAAATAGGCAAAGTTTCATCAAAATTTGTGACCATGGATGTTAAAAAATCTAAACTGGTTACAAGGAATAGTTCTTAAGGATAAGTATTCGGCGATTTGAACAAAAAAATCACGAAATATATAATGTTCTAGTACAATAACTCACATAAGTTTGAACCATATTCATTCTGTTTTCTCTCATTTTCTTGACGTATTCCGCGATGTTGATTTTCCTGTTTGTCTTGCCAGCCTTGTATAAGGCGTCTATAGCGATGTAAGTACCAGTTCGGCCGATTCCAGCACTACAAGTTGTATTTTAACAAGAAAAGCAATTTCTAAATGATCTTCAGCACTACAATAGTATTCACTCTGTTTTTCCAGTTTATTATTTCAGAGACAAAGATTACCAAAAAAAAAAAAACATTTAGTTTAAAACCTACTATCTACACAAATATTTGTGCAATGACACTTAGGGGACGACCATTCGATTTTAAGTATATATGTGAGTGGGGAGGGGGGGGGGGGGCAAATTTCGCACATTTCCTTTTACAAGACATTTTCTTCTTCCTCCCTGAAAAAACTAGGGCTGTGTCAATATATCGAATATTCAATACGTATCGATTTTCAGGAATGTAATCGTATCGAATAAATAACTTCCAATACGTATCGGACAGGCAGTTTTCCTTATAATTCTGTAAAAAGGTTGGGAATTTCAGTTACCAAAGATTATTTTTGACTGTTTTGAATTAAAAATGATCAATAATGAAATAAACATTAAGGAGATAGCACATCTTAAATAACTATTACAAAATACATAGACAACTATATTTTAACATGTTATGTTAGACTCACCCAGTTTTTGTCAAATTTATGCATTAAATGTCATTTACAAGACATTTGTGAAAGACTTAATAAATAATCCAATATATCGCATATCGCTTTTAAAAATATCGTATCGTATTGTATCGAAATATTTTGCTGAATACACAGCCCTAGAAAAAACCGCACACGCAAAATAGAGTTAATAAAAGGAAGACTGCTTAAACTCAAATTTTTGTTAGAGGAAAGGCGGTTGTTAGTGTCCATAGTCAAGATCAGATTAATTATTTTCTACCAGGAGGAAGACATATTTATTTTAAACATTATTGAGGACAGATATTTCCAAAATCTTTGAATCCCTACTCTCAGAATCAATTGGACGTTCCCTAATTAAGAGACATTTTATTGATCTACAGGAATTGATTACTATATTGTATATAATTTGACCTGCAGTGTACTACTGTTGGGACTCCATCTTGTTTCTGTTTTGTCCTTGTCACGTGATCATGGAAGACTACAAGGCAGAGCGGTTCCGGTGTCCCATGATCTGGCCAGGTGGTGTAATGGTACTGTGTTACTATGCGAGAAATTTTCAGCTGGTGAAGAAAAAATTGCCTAAAATTTAGTTAAACTACCCCTCATGCCAATAGCAAAAATAACTCCATAAAAGTATCATTTTTTCTTGCTAGTTACAATTTACATAAAATACACCTCTACGTCCCATACATGAGACACATGATCTATATTACCAGGGCATTGTTAAAACTAAATTACAAAAAAAAATCAACGTTATGTCTGTCTTTGTAAAAAAGATATTTGGAGTCTTACCTAAATGAGCCGTAATATGTACTCAACATTCGTTTTTGACTTACCCCCTTGTAGTTAACTCTAATTCTCCGTATTTTGTAATTGGCATAGCTTTGCTCTTCGTCGGTGCGTAAAGAGATCACTCCAAAAGTACTACTTTTGGTCAGATCGGGCCAGTATTTGACACATTTTGCCTTGTAAAAATTATTAAATTAATTATAGTGAATATTTATAAATTGATTATTTTTCAAGCTTAAAATATTTTTTCCCAGACTATAATCAGCAAAAAACAATTTTGATTTGAAAATTGTGTACAGTATCAACGCTTTCCATGTATTTTATTTTGTGGAGAACACATTTTTGCATAATTGTATATTTTTTGTTTAAGTGTGCATAACACGATCACTTACTTCTTCAGTAAAATGATCTACGTAACCTGTAAAGATAATTACTTTGTTCCCCTCCTTTAAGTTGGTGAGCATAACTATCTGGGTGACATTCTCCTGCCAAATCATTTTCCAGAAATCTGTCACTGTGTTTTGACGAGGTCCTGCGAGAGGTATATGTGGTTTTAAAAATATTTGCATGACATTAAGATTTCAATTTTGATTGATATTCTTAAGCCATTTATTGTTTTTCCCTTCAGAAAATGATTAAAAAAAGTATACAGGAACAAAAAAAAACAGAATCCAGGAAGCAGAAACAAACAGTCGTACCTTGTGCTGCTATATACTCATTTGTCTTATCAATACCCTGAAAATGAAAACCCTTTATATTTAAAGAGAAATTAATGGTTAATACCTGCTATTTATTTGGTATAATATGTAGTATCAGATGCAAAAATACATGACTTTTATTCTTCATATTTTTTTTAGTTTTCGTGTAGTCTGTTTTTGAAAAGACTTGGTACTTATATACCATAGTATGTTCTTTATTTAACTCTACGGATGGGGCTCCCGGCGGGTTTTACCGGTCGACAGGTCACTTCTGTCCTCGACTTGGGTGATAAAAACGTTTTCTAGTGCAAAATTTTATCAAACCAGGAATGACAATCGATGTTTTGAACGTTATCTGTTGTAGTACTCACGTCAATGAAATTGGCGTTGATGTAGTCCGACTGGCTGTTTGACAATTTGACTCTTGAATGGTCATCTGAAAGTATTCTTTCTTTTAATATAGTTTGCAACCAAAATATATTACTTTGATGGCTAAACTTAGTACTGAATATTGTTTACAGTTAACATACATGGAAAGGTTGTCTTGTATCTGTTTTTAGGTACGTTTTCTGGCTCTTTTCCAGCGTTGCAAGGATATCTTTCACCGTAAGGCATGGTCTAGTGTTTCAGAATGAGAATTTTATCAGTATGTAAAAGATTTTCATTTTATTAAAGGGCAATAGAGCAAACTTTACTTTCCATATATACAATTATTTGGTTTAAGTAAATATACTTAATTAACATAGCAATACTTTACCGCATACTCCTTTTTAAAGCCATCATCTTCATTTTTCCGTTTCTCCTTAATAGTACGCTTCAATTGATCAATATTTATATCTGGAATTGGTTCGTCATTTATATAAAGATCACCGTATGGGTTTTCTTCATGTAATTTTTCATCATTGTCAATATCATCGTCGCACTCCTTTCGTCCTGTTTTCAGTTCTAGACTCTGTTTACTGGAATTTTTGCCATCTTTGAAATGTGAAGTTCCTTCCACGTTCTCATAAATATTTGTTAACTCCAATTTTCCTTGTTTTGAAGCAGCTTTAAAGTTTAAAAATAAATATTCATATACTTTAATTATTTTAACCAAGTCACGTTGTTAAAACTGCAATAGGATTTCTAAAAGTGAATAAATGTTTTCACATTATTTTAGTAATGTAGCATTGATTCTGTGATTTGATATCTTTATCAATAATTGGATATTTTTACCGGAGTACCGTGTATCCGGTGTTTTTCGCGTGTTGCAAATTTTGCGAAAAAAGGGTAGATTTGTACAGTTTTTATTTTGCGTAAGTTATTTTTTGAAATTTGAAAAAAAAAAAATAAAAAAGATAATGTTTTTATGGCACACAATAACCGATATAATTTCTGCGTGTTTTATTTTTTGCGAATTAAAAATGATCGCAAAAACTGCGAAAATTAGATCATCGCGAAAAAAAACGGATATACGGTATTTTTTCTTTTATCTAATGATGCATGTAATTATAGCTTTTTTTATCAGACAAAAACATGTTCTGTTTACTCACAGTTCATATTAGAGGTGTTTGTTTCTGTATTCGTCTTCCGTATCCCTTTATCACTATTTCGTAATACTCGAGATCTGCAAAGTATGCATTCCATATTTTACCTAATGTACTATTGCTTTTACATCATATGATACTCAAATACCACTCTTTGCGTTTAGTAAGACGTTGAAATAAAAAGACAGGCCATCATAAAACAAGATGATATGCGGCTTATGACATATTTTACATCACACAGCTATATATTTGATAAGGAAGCAATTTTCCAGAGTCAGAAAAGTGTTCCTTGCTTTATTCCTTTTACATCTCCAGATGAGTATTTATTGATGAATCAAGGATATCAAAAGCCTCGTTTGAAGTCATCATTTCGCAAGTTTTATGGTCGATACAATGACCTATTTAGCACATACAACCTATCACTGAGTCAAATGCTGATTGACGTTTTTCATACTTTTTTTCATAATTGTTCGGCCATTATTTATACACTGAACTGTCTACGGATTTTTCCGGTTTTTCCCCCCGATCATGACAAAGAGCACAAGGCGGGTGTGACCGGTCGGCAGGGGATGCTCAGTCCTCTATGGCACCTGATCCCATCTCTAAATTTTGAGGTCCGTGTTTGCTCTTCTCCAAATTTGTATCGTTTCATTCGACTTTCGAGATTGAATACTGTTCGTTATCTTCTTATTTCATTATATTTATTATTGTTATTAAATAGCTGCATATTCGGTTAGTTTACTCATGCTCAGGGTCCATAAAATCACACAGGGAAAATCAACAAATACATGTACCACGTTTTTCCTTGCAAACACCAAGAAATACAATCTTCATGCATTTGCTAGTTGAAAATCAAAGTCTGACATATGCATTTATGTGTAAATATTATCTAAATGTTACACTATGTGTAGAATATTTCTGTGAAAGTAAAATGCCATACGTTTATATCAATGAGTCTGAACTTGTTAGGTTTTAATGAATTAATTAACAGCTAAAAGTTTTTAAATATTGGGAATTATACTTTTTTGAAAAGAAATCAATTTCTTCTAGATGAAATATATGGAGATAACGAACAGTATTCAAGCTCAAAAGTCCATTAAACAATACAAAAAAGGAGCAGAGCAAACACGGATCTCCAAAACATCAGAGGTGGGATCAGGTGCCATGGAGGAGTGAGCATCCCTGCCGACCGGTCACACCCGCCGTGTGCTCCTTGTCATGATCGGGAAATAAGGGAAAATTCCGAGTGTAAATAATGACCTAACAATTAGTATGAAAACCTCAGTCAGCATTTGACTCAATGATAAATTGTATTTGCTGGCAAGGTCATTGTATCGACCATAGAACTTACGAAATGATGACTTTAAACGAGACTGCTGATATTCTTGTTTCATCAACTTGTTTGTCAATAATTTACCTCGTTTTAGAAATTGTACATACGTAGAGCATGCTCTTGCGTATCGAATTAACTGAGAGATATAAACCCCGTATGCAGGTGATGAAGATATATTGGTGCATAAGTAAGGGAAGTTGACGATTGAAAAGTTAAAGTCATCACGTTTATCATAAAGCTTGGTTGTTAGATTACCATTAACGTCTTTTTCAAGTAAAATATCCAAATATGAAACAGATGTGTCAGACTCTGTGGTATCTTTTATCTCAAGCTCACCGGGATATATCGTATCGACATAAGAATGGAAATAACCATTGTTAATTGACAATACGTCGTCGATATATCTAAATGTCGAGTTGAAGGCCACAGCAAGTGTTTTCTTCTTTTCATGTATAAGATTTTGGACAAATTTTGCTTCATATGAATACAAAAAAGGTCTGCTAATCACGGGGCGCAATTGGTACCCATGGCAATTCCAGTAGATTGTTGGAAGACCTGATCTCCAAAAACCACATAGATATTGTCAATCAGAAACTCAAGCATCTTTTTTAATGTCTATTTCAGAGTACTTGTGTGTACAATCAGAATGTTTTTTTAAGAAAATAATTTTGCAAATGACCAATGACAAAGTAAGTAAATTTACGAGTTCCATTTTTATTGAAAAATCAGCTGTCAATGATATCAAAAAGCCTGGACTTTAATTAATCATGGGGAATGGTTGTGTATAAAGTTGAAAAGTCGTAGGTTTTTAGACTGTTGATTTTGGTAAATTCTTGAGATTTCAAATTTTCCAAAAGTTCCTTGGAATTTTTAAGTATCCACATCTGATTTACACCACTTTTCGAATATATTGTTGCACAGTACTCTTGAAGTTTCTCCTTCACTACTGTTAATATCTTAGTGAGGAGTAAAGAAAGAGGCTTGGTTGAACGTTTACTGGAACCTGCTATGTATCTTCGTTTGTAAGTATTTTTATGAAGTTTCGGAATGTTAAAATTAACTTATTGTTTTGATAATTTTCAAACATATTTAGAAACTTTGTTTCTGGAAAGTGTAGAAAAACAACTTTTTTTATACTTCACAGAAATGGCAACCAAGTCCTACATTGAGGCTGGGTATTCACAAAATAATCAAATATTTGATAATTTTAAAAAATCTTACTCATTCCAGCGGCATGTTACATGTATATGCTGTAACACCAAACCTTCCCCTTGGGTGATACGATACAGAATATCATTAAGATAAAAAAAAAAAAACGGAAATTTCGATTCACCTTAAACATCCCTTAAACAAGATGTGTTTGTGAAACATTGATGCCCCTGTGTGGCAACTTATAGCAAAGGTTAAACTTTCTCAAATGTAAATCAAATATGTTGCTACTCAAAGTAAAGGTTGTCTCGAGGAATATACCTGTGAAATATAAAACCCTCGCATCAACCATTGAATAGATATGCCCTAACAAAAAAATACTATAGTTAACTATAGTTTACTATAGTTAACTATAGTTTACTATAGTTAACTATAGTTTACTATAGTTAACTATAGTTAACTATAGTACATTAAAGTGTCAAAGTTATCACTATAGTAAATCAAAGTTTTCAAAGTGATCAATATAGTGTCATAGCGATCACTATAGTAAATCAAAGTTTTCAAAGTGATCACTATAGTGTCAAAGTTATCACTATAGTAAATCAAAGTTTTCAAATTTTTCACTTTAGTAAATCAAAGTTTTCACCATAATAAATCAAAGTTTTCATAGTGAACACTATAGTAAATCAAAGTTTTCATAGTTATCACTTTAGTAAATCAAAGTTTCAAAGTTATCACTATAGTAAATCAAAGGTATCATAGTGTCAAAGTTATCACTATAGTTAACTATAGTATTTTTTTGTTAGGGTGGCAAAGGTTTTTTTTCAAAAGTGAGTCAAACATCAAGGTCAAGGTCAAAATTAATGGTGCCCAAGGAAAGGTCTTCTCACAAGGAATAGACAGGTATAATATGAAAGCCGTAGCACCAATCGTTCAAAAGTTATTACCAAGGTAAAAGTTTTTCAAAAGTAGATCAAACTCCAAGGTCAAATTTCAAAGTTGTTGGTATCCAGAGGAAGGTCGTGTCACAAGCATTACATATGTGAAGTATGAAATCCCTAGCACCAACCGTTCAAAAGTTATTGCCAAGGTTAAAGTTTTCCAAAAGTAGGTCAGACTCCAAGGGCAAGGTCAAAGGGTCAAAGTTGTTGGTATCCAAAGGAATGTCTTGTTACATTGATTGATTGATTATATGTTGTTTTACGTCTCATTCGAAAATTTTTCACTCATATAGAGACCTCACCATATACCGGTGAAGGGCTTCAAATTTTGACCTTTACTCGGCACTCAGGGCCATTGAGCAGTGAGGGATCTTTATCGTGCCAACGCCTGCCGTGACACGGGGCCTCGGTTTTTAAGGTCTCATCCGAAGGACCCGAAACTTTCACTTCAAAGTGCCGAGCGCCTGGCGAAGGAACAGTTGCTTCCCATTTTTTATCGACTTAGGTCAGTCGCGGCCGAGATTTGAACTCACGACCTCCCGATCACGGAGCAAGCGCTCTACCGACTGAGCTACTGTGAACGGTCGAATGTCTTGTTACAAAGATTACATATATGAAGTATGAAAGCCCTAGAATTAACCGTTCAAAAGTTTTGGCTAAGGTTAAAGTTTCTCAAAAAAGGTCAAACTCCTTGGTCAAGGGTCAAAATTGTTGGAATCCAAAGAAAGATCTTGTCACAAGAATTACTCATATGAAGTATGGAAGCCCTAGCACCAACCGTTCAAAAGTTATGGTCAAGGTTAAAGTTCGGTAAAATTTTGCAAAACTGGGTCAAACTCCAAGGTCAAGGTCAAAAATGGCAGTACCTTAAGAAATGTATTGCCACAAGGAATACACATGTGAAATATGAAAGCCATAGCTCCAACCAATCAAAAGTTATGGGTAATGTTAATGTTTTCGCAGACAGACGGATGGACAGGGGAAAAACTATATACCTATATACGGGGGCATAAAAATGTTACCATTAATAACTTCAACACTAAAAAAGAATATTCGGGATTATTTGTTTGCATTGAAAAGCTCACAAGCATAATAATTTAATTACTTCACAGTCGTCTGATAGGACGCAGATTGGCCAAAAGTATAGAGCAACAGTGGAGAATTATAGCCTTACCGAATTGAAACGAAATGTTTATTGTGGCGACAGACTAACATAAAGTACTGCGTCGATCGCAGTAAACCACAACTAAATATACAATGTATGTAACATTAAAATGAGAAAAAATACCATCAAAATTCAATTCTTCCTAAGGTCAGACGACACGTTCCTCCAAAATATATAATACATAATTTTTCCCAAGAATTTGCCCTTGAAGTATCGCTACTTAAACAAGTTTCCTCACCAAAAATTGAGGTACCTTACCAGGCATTTGGGCAAGATACCAGAGGGTGATATTTCTTATACAATCCTTATGGGTAATCTTTTGAACTGCCAATGTCACAATTTTTGGTATACTTATTTTATAAAACATATTGAAAACAATTTAGAAATCACAAGAGAAAGACAATTATGAATAATTTTTGATATATTACTAAGGTACGCAAAACATATCTTCGAGGAACGTGTCGTCTGACCTTAAAATTCATGTTCTTTTTATTTTATAAGTTATATTTATCCAACTTGTACATTACTCTGCAAATATTTGAGTTTTGTTTTTTATTTTGTGATGCTTACCGTCTGATCCAAATAACAGAAATCGTGACAATAAATAGCACCAATACAGCGGCGATCACTCCTCCAGCTATGGAAAGGTTTGATGGGGTATCGTCTGTTGATTTTAAAGCCTAAAATGTTCAAAAATTAAAGTAGAACAAATATTTTTGGCGATTCTTTTGTTCTTAGGAAAGACTTGTAATAGAAACCCTTACCCTTTTGGATAGGCACTCTCCAGAATCGCGATGACAAGTTTGATCGACACATTCTACGCTACAGTTATTAACACAATTCTCGCCCCACTTCCTCTTTCCACATTCTACAATAGTTCAGATACCTCTAGCATAAAAACGGTAAACGTTTTAAAAATCTGTATAACATTAAATAATACACAGACCACATTTCTCGAATGACTCCAATTAAAGAGCTACTCGAAATTTGACATGAGATGCCATTCACTGGTAAAACAATATTTAAAAAAAACAATATCGGTTCTCATATATGTGATACTCTTAATGAAAAACTGTTTTAATATATACATGTACGAGGGTTGTCCCAGAAACACGCGCACTTTTTAAATATTTCATAAACTACCTGACCAAAATTATTCATTTTTGGCATAATGTTGGGAAATGATGTTTCTGACATTTTGGCTAAATAATATAAATTTCCAATGCAATATGCATTTATAAACAGCATTTAAAGGGTGTTAAATATCGGTAGTCGGCGCACGGCAATTTTTTGACTTTCAAAAATAGCATTGACAACAATGTTTTCTTTATTACCAGGCTATACGGAAAGATAATGTGGCAAAAATTATATCCATAGAAACTTTATGATCTAGAGTACTCATGTGTAAAAAAAAAATTCAATACTCTGACATCATTAATAACAAAAATATGACGTTATATGCAAAAACACTACTAATTAGATATTGCCAAAAACGGCGACGTCGAGCGATAATGCGGCGCACCAAATTATCACTCAGTATTCTGTGGAGCGGGGTTGACTCCAGTTCATACGGAAAAAGAGCTGAGAACGAGGGAACGACACATATACATGTATCGATCACAGGTTTATACAAAGTAAAAGAGGTTCAGAGATGAATGGACTGCTTATCCGATGGAAAAGCGTTTGGTAGACCAACAAAAATAACGACAAACTGAAAAGGCTAGAGCTGGACGTTATACATGGAGACCACCGTTAAGTATTCGAGCAATAAGGTTTACGATCGGGGTCTATTATAAGAATTTATGCCTTGATTTATTCTTAACTGTAGTACGTGGGAAATGCATGGATAACTCGGTAACTAAAAGAAAATAAAATGCAGTATCGAATTAATGTTTTGAATTTTTTAAGTCGCACGATTCCTGAACAAATTCAAAAACTCCACCAGCTATATACGTTTTGACGTCGTCGGTGTTGCGCCGGCAGCTATTTTGATTGATTCGTTTACCAAGGAGAAAAATGTTATTTATATAGATATTTTACTGAAATTTCTGTGAATTATTTTAAAAATACTGATTTTAATGCATGCCAATTTTTAACTTTATAACATTAGTGAAACAAAAAATATTGAAAATGTTCGCTTTTTTCTGAGACAACCCTCGTACTTATTAGGTGAATGAAAATTACATTTTTTTACTTAAACTCTTTCAAACGAAAATCACAATATCTTACCTTTGATACACAGTGATCCTTCGTATCCAGAAGAACATCCCTTTAAACAGGAACCGTCGACGGGGTTACAGTATGTACCATTAATGCAATGGCCGCAATTACGACCACATTTATCTCCGTACATTCCGATGTGACATTCTAAGAAAAATAAGAAAAATGTCAAACGGTAAATTTTCATGGTTTTACTCGTCGCACAAATTAAGAAATGATATTTCTATTTTATTAAACCCGGCCATCTACCATAAAAAAAAGTAAATTAAAGTTTTTTTTTCCTCTGTAATAACAATTCATAACATTATTAAGCATGTTGTGGTTACTTGTACATTATGAATTACAACAATGATAATTTATTTCTATTGATATAAAAAAGCAAAATTTCATACCATTTATACAGATTAAACCCATATATCCAGCATCACACCCTCCTAAGCATGTACCATTAATGTGGTGACACTGTGTATCATTACGACAGTTTCCACAGTCTTGGCTACAGTTCACACCATACTTTCCACCATCACATTCTTTTAGAAAACATCCAAAGATATATTCATTTAGGACTCATTGACCCCTTTCTTTTGACAAATACCTATCAAAAACACTCTTATACCCTTAAGTCTCCTTCAGTATATAAATGTATTTACGGGAGCAATTAAAATTATCAACCTTTTAACCAAATTTGACATTGAATACGTAAAACTCATAAATGAATAAAATACTATACACCTATTATAACTTCTTTTCAAAATTAGAATTATCAATCTCTTACCGTTAGTACAGGTCAATCCTTTGTATCCAGTTGAACATCCATATAAACAAGTACCGTTTATATGATGACATTGTGTATCATTAAGACAATGACCACAGCTTTGACTGCAGTTAACACCATACATTCCATCGTCACAATCTAAGAAAAAATCAGAAAATACATTTTCAATAACAATGTCATCTCCTACATAGTTTCTCCTATACGCATGAAGGTCTGTAATTCTGTGGGTCTTTGACATTTTAATTTGAAAATATAAATGATATATATATTTTAATGACTTTCTCAAGGATATGTCCATTAATATGGAGGAGTAGTATATTAGTTTAAACGTCAACATCAGTTTAGTAAATTATTTTAATTTTCATTGAAGGATCTTAAAAGACGTTAGTATAACTAATCAGACGATTAAATAGAAAATACCGAATGAGCAAGCTTATCAGGTACATGAAACTCTTCTTTTGTAGACGGATTTTAGCTCACCTCAACGAAGTTGGGGAGCTTATGTAATACCGTCCGCGTCCTAGATTAAAGTTTTGGAGCAGATTTCTTTTTCAAGTACTTTAATCAAAGATGCATGGATAATGCTTCTAGTATGTTTCCTTGTACCAGTCAAGGTTTCAGATGCTACAATTTCAGCTAACGAATATCCAGGTTAATGTTTTGGAGCAGGTTCAAGTTTGAGGAGCAGGTTCAAGTTTGAGGAGCAGGTCTCATTTCAAGGTAAGTATACGCCCTATGTTGGAACGTGCATGGATGATACACCTAAGGATGCACACAACCAGGCTTGTTTCGGATGCTGGATCTGACCTACATTTTCCGGATGAGTGACCAGGTTAAAGTTTTTAGACCAAATCTCATTTCCAAGTAACTATAAGACCTATGTTGACAATGCAAACATGCATGGATAATACATCTAAGGATGCACACTACTGGACTTGCTTCGGATCCTGGATCTGACCTACATTTTCCAGATGAGTGACCAGTTTAAAGTTTTAAGAGCAAATCGCATTTCCAAGAAACTATAAGGCCTATCTGAACCTAACTTGCATGGATGATGCATCAAGGGCTGAACACTTTCAAACTTGCTTCAGATGCTGGATTTTACTTACATTTTCTGGACGAGTGCCTAGCTTTAAGATTTTAGATAAGGCCATTCCCAAGTAACTGCAAGCCATATCAGACCAACATTGCATGAATGTTGCATCTAGGGATGCACACTACTAGATTATTAGTTTAGTGTGGGACTTTGCCTTACTTAACGACAACATTCGTTGAGGTGAGCTCTGTTATCTCTGATTATCTATATTTAACTTAATATTTTGTGGTTCATGTATCTAGCAAGAGGTGTTTTCGCCAGACGACATTTAAAATAAACCTTTTTTTCATTGATCCCAAAGGAAGGTTTAAATATTGCAAATTGAAAATCATCGTAACCTTAAGCTTGGCTATAATCAAAGCGTGTTTCAAAAATTGTTCTCTTTCGTCATGTATGTTTAGTTACAGGCCATATATTATTTTAATGTTTTGTAATAAAAAGAAAGAAATTTGAGATTAACATGAAAGTAAATGTAAAGAATAATAATAGCGATGGGAAAAATAAAGAAATTTGAGCATCACAGAAAGATTACAATTTTTTAATATATGTATCTTAGCAAATAAATATATGTATTATTCAAAACCAAACTAAGTTAAAACATATATCAATCCATGATCAAATTCTCTGTTTGTATCATGTTCTAATTATACTATCTACAAATTAAATTAGGAAGTGAAGACATCTTGCAAGTATACGGAACAAGTCTGAATTATCTGTAGATCAGTGTGTGTTTAAAAGCATTCATCTTGATGAATTCTTCATAATTCATTACATTTTGATAGGGGAATACTGTAATTTATCCATTGCACAAAAGTAATATCTTTGAAAAAAATATTTCATTATGAACAAAATTTATGAATTGCAGCAAAACTCAATTTTTCTTCTTTTAAAAAAATGTTATCAAAAATTTCTCTTATTTATAAGATGGATTTATCGATTGAAGTTTCCTTCCTTGCGTGAATTTTTCACCCATACATGTGTGTTACGTCACTATATACAAGAGAAGGGCTTCAGATTTAGACCTTAAACTGGCAATCAGGGCCATTGAACACGGGTCCTCGGTTTTTAAGATCTCATCCGAAAGGCCCCCGAATTTAACCTCTAACGCCAGGAACTTGGCAAAGGAAAAGTGTTTATTACTTTTGTTTTTTAAATGTCTTTGGTTTGACGCAGCACCGGGAACTAAACTTGAGCCTGGGACCTTTCGGTCACGAAGCCAGGCTGATACTGAGTAAACTACAAAATTTTCTCCAAATTGTTGTTAAAATCAATGTTAACAATTTCACAATCGCTTAGCTATAACTTCTCTCAAATATGAAGTCACGGCCCAATATACGGGCTTCGCGTACTTTTTAATCTCGCATGATTTCTCGCATAAATTAAGGTCACAGTCATCTCATAATAATAATCAACATTATCTAATCAAAATACAACAAAATAACCCTGGAATATATTTGATATCGTATGTAAAGTGTACAAGTCCATTAAAAATATTATCTTAAGTTTTTAAACAATGTTTTAAAGGGGAGTTTATCTATAAATAGTTCGGTGTAACAACTATGTTGATTCTACTATAGGTATTTGAAATTTGAATTAGTCAAGCTTTCTTTAATACTTTTTGGCTGAAATGTATTGAATTAACTATTATAAGTGAATATTTTTTTTACGTACTTTCTTTATTTATCATACTCGTCTTTGTTTTATCGAAATTTAGCCCCGAAATGGAAACAGCTCCGAATGGAAACAATGCCAAAAGGTAAGATAATTAAGTAATGATTTTTTAAAAAAAAATGGCTAATTGTAAGAGATGAAAGGAAAATTCTTTAATATTTACGGTTTGAAACTTTGTAAAATGTGCATTAGGACGGATCTCTGTCTCATTTTTTAAAATGAAAAGCAGTCGAACAGATTAGAAATACTGTATTATCATCTTGCACTGTAGATTAAAGTGAATGTACAGAGAATAAATGTTACAGGTACTAAGTCTAGGAAATTAAGGGAAAAAGTCACCCATAGCCAAAAAAGTCTATAGTAGAGTCAAGAGTATAGTACACGGTTGCAATGGACAAGAAACAAGAAAAAAATATTTCTGAATAATGTTTTAAATTAGTAAAAAAGAAATAAAATAAGATTTTAAAAAATCACTTTTAAATTACATTTTAATTTACATTATGACCTCTGGGTCGAGGCCTCTGCTGGTGGACTGTTAGTCCCTGGGGGTCTCTACAGCCCAGTAGCTAAGTACTTCGTACTAGCTTGAAAATACGGATATATACTTAATTGCTGTGGTAAAATTTAGAAATTTATTTCAAAATTAAGGATTATCTCCCTCATGCGTAGCTCTAACCTTTAGACGTATTTGGCCCCTAGTCTTTGGCACCTTTTTCAGCTCTTCAGAGTCTTTTTTATTTAAATATTTTTGATTTCCAACGTTTCGGCATGAGCATCACTGAGGTGACATAATTTTTCGAAATGCGCATCTGGTGCATCAAAATTGGTACCGTATATGATTTACTTTTTTAAATGTATTTAATTGTCTCCTTAAACAATATCACGTTGTAACAACGTGACTTTAATTTGTGCGAAAAAACCTTGCGAGTTTAAAATGTGTACTACGTCACCAAAAACTGGCATGGGGAAAATAAAAGAAAATGTGATAACCAAAACGTATCAGTGTTTGTCTTTGTAAATTGATTTTTTTTTCACCTGTGAGACAGGATTTTTAAACTCGTAAAAATAATAGAAAATCATGTCCCTCTTGCGAAGAAAATTATATATCCAACTACAAAACATTGAATATTGTCTATTTATTTCCTAACAATTTAAATAAAATGTCCCTTACGATTGATAAGTACAAATTAATTGCATTAGGCTACATTTTCAAATCTTTCTATTTTCTCTTCTTAATAATATTCGAGACAAATGCTTACTATGTAAACATAATAATCCTTTGTATCCTGTCGAACACCCGTCTAGACATGTACCCTTGATGTGGTGACACTGTGCATCATGAAGACAATGACCACAGTCTTCACTACAGTTGAAACCATACATTCCGCCGTCACATTCTTTAAAAATAATTTTTGATTCGTCATAGTGTAAAGTGATTATTATACCTATATCAAACTAAATTAAAGTATTACATATTATCCAACATTGAATAAATCTAAATCTTAGTTCTTCAATTGTAAGTAAGGCTTTTTTGGTATTCTATTCTGTTTGATTACAGAGCCATTGCAAGTCGAATCTGAACCTGTTATGTTTAATTGAACATGGATTTAAAAATTAAATCCAGATTTTTGAGAGGATGAAGACTACATGCATGACCAACTGGTCTTTTGTGACCAAATGTCTTACAGTTAAAAGACCTTAATTTCAGAAGGAAACGGAAGTAAATGATTAATTCTATCCAGTCTCTTACAAATATTAACATCGTGTTTGCAGGTATATAACGTCAATGACAAAACAGTAAGATAGATATAATTTTAGCTGTGTGCTCAATAATTTAAGTTCAGATTTGTGACTACATCCCAATCTGCTTCCGGTGAGGTTGTAAACAAACATCGTTTAATTGATATTCCGCAGTTATCGAAGGGGAAGATATGACTTCGAAGTCCTAAGTATTTTTACAACCCACGTGATAAAGTTCAAATTGTTCTTTATTAGTAGTATAGTTTAAACTGTTGCAAATCTTAAAAATAATTTTAAAATCATCATTAGGTATGTTCGATACTGACAGAATTTTTTTTAAAAATGTATAGTAATTGCCTTGTTAAATTCGTTTTCACTTGAAAATAATCCACTATTGCTTATTAGGTATGTTACTGATTTTGTACGTAGAGAAGTAAATCGGGTTGGTCAGTCTCATAGAAGGCTAGTCGGAGATTACTTGTTTCGGTAAACAGACAGTAACAAACCTAATAAACAGTTCATTTTTTTCGAATAACATAGTATACCAAACTAAAACATAAGTCAGGCGTGTAGCGCTCAACGTTTTCAAAAGAAAAGGACGAAGCAGCCACAAAAAAAGACTACAAGCAGAAAAAACATATAATGTATCTAGCTTTTCTGTACTTGCAGAAGAAATGAAGGTTTCTTACCATTGGTACAACGCAATCCTTTGTATCCAATTGAACATCCTTGTAAACAAGTACCGTTAATATGGTGACACTGAGTACCATTAAGGCAATTTCCACAGTTTTGACTGCAGTTAATACCAAACATACCACCCTCACATTCTTAGAGAAAAATCAGTGCATTATCAGAAATCATGCAAGTACCGTTGATATCAATGATGTGGTGACATTGTGTATCATATACTTAGTATAGCGGTTTCAACAGCATTGAACTTTGTGTCACTCTCAACTGACATAGTCTTATAAAAAAAAACATATATATATACATATTTTATGCAACTTCATGTACTTCAGAATATATATTAATGCTTGCGAAGTTTGTCTTTAAATATCGAATTAGAGTAGTTAACTGTACTCATTTATCTTTTTAAAAATATAAGATGACGATTACATTTCATTTTTCATTTGCATGGGGACATGTTACACTTGATAATGTATTGCAGTTGGCGTCCTTACCACTGGCACACATCGACCCCTTATATCCAGGAGAACACCCTTCGAAACATATACCGTTTATGTGATGACATTTTGACCCATCACGGCAGTGTCCACAGGTCTGGTTGCATTGCAAGCCGTAACTTCCACCGTCACATTCTTAATTTAAAAAAAGTACTTGGTTATTTTTCAAGACATATCCTACATAATTCGTATTTCTTAGCGCTTCTTTGCTTTATTTGGCTTGCTCACTATGAAATTCAAATACTATAAAATCACATACTTTCGAGGTTTGAGGAAAACACATTGGTTCATGGGAATTTAATTTCGTGGTCGAATAAGAGCAGCGTTGTTACACATTCAAAATTTTAAAATTCGTGGGGAGCATGAATTCGTGAGTTTCTTCATACCGCAAGGCAGCAAAAATTAATCCCCACGAAAATTAGTGACTTCACAGTATACAAAATCACAGATACCATAATCACATAATATGTGACTGTACTCGTACAATTTACCCAAGTGAAAGTTGTGATCTACTTAGGAAAGTTACATAAGCATAAAATAACTTTTTTAAACATTGCTTTGCTTTTAATGCTTCATATACTTGCTACAATCAAACTTCACTTTCAAAAACCTTGACATTGGATACTATACAAAGAAATTTGACATATTCCTAATATTTTATGAACTTGACTTTTGAATCAGCAATCCACGTATCCAATTCTTTGTTTGTAGCAAGTGTTCTCAATATTAACAATTCTTACCTTTATCAGAAAGAGGCCCCTAGTATCCGACAGGACATCCTGGTAGACAGGAGCCGGTGATGGGATGACACTGTGTATTACCAAGACAATGACCACATGTCTTAGTGCAGGCTGATCCCTACATACTACTATTGCATTCTTTAAAAACATTACATACCAGGTATATAATATTACCTTCAATACATAGAGATCCTTCGTATCCCGCAGAACATCCTCCTAGACATGTACCGGTAATGTGATGACACTGTGTATTACCAAGACAGTGACCACAAATCGTACTGCAAGAGGATCCATACAAACCATCGTCACATTCTTAAAAATAATTTTGATAATTCTGAGATAATCCGAAGTCCTTCCTGCACATTATTTGTAAATGAGATAATACTTATACATGAACATTTTTAATGATATAACGCAAGAAAAAGAATACTCACCTTAAATTCTTAGACACATATAACAACAACTTCATTTTACGATCGTTTTCGATGGAAAACTTTTTTTTTGTAAGGTTGGGTTGAATTGTGGCTAAGTGAAGACAATGAAAATCACTAACCATGATTACAGAGGGGTCTTTTATAACCAGGGGAACACCCATTTAAACATGAACCGTTTACATGATGACATTGTGATCCCTCGGAACAGTGTCCACAGGTTTTATTACACATCAATCCATATTTGCCACCGTCACATTCTATTAAAAGATATCTTCTTTTCAAGTATTCTTAATGCAAGGAACTCTGTTTTCATTTCTCTTTCTAGTTTCGTGCTTTTATGTTATATAAAGATTCATTAAAAATGAAAAAATAAAAAAATTCATAATATCAATAATATGCTTACCATTTTTTTTTTTGCCTTTAAATGGATTATAATTTATACCTTTATACAAATCATTCTAGAAAAAAAGCGAGTTTTTAAAGAGCTTTTTACATAGATGATGTACTGCTTATACTTTTGTTACAGAGATATCCAGTGTATCCTGCAGAGCATCCTCTTGAACAAAAACCGTTGATGTGATGACACTGTGTGTTATGGAGACAATGGCCACAAGTCCTACTGCAAGAGGATCCGTACATACCATCGTCACATTCTTTAAAATAATTTTGATAAACTTCTTTGTCCATAACGTTTTTATGAACTGTCATTGGCTTTTGTATCGATGATATTCTATGGTGTAAATTTCACTACTGGTACATAACATAATTAATACGATTAGCACAAAATCAGTCTCCTTTTCCTTGTGATGTACAAAAATTATAAATACGCATATGCATCTCTTTCTGCGAAAAACGTTCTATGTATTACTTACACATCTACCCAATTCTTACCCTGACTACAGTGAGGTCCCTTATATCCAGGTGTACATTCGAGACAGTTTCCTGTAGACATATTACATCTCTGATCAAGACAGATATTTGGACATAATTTGTCACAATATTTTCCGTAGTATGTGGAATTGGGGCATCCTGTTTAAGTACCAAAATTCATTTAATAGTTTCGATTGATAAGACAGGGAATTTTTCAAAATTGAGAAGATAAAAGTTTTGTTCAGTTCATACAGAAAAAAAAAGTTTTCAAACTCACCATAAACTTCCAACTCACACAATTCATTGTATGCGTATTGAGAGTAGTAACTAGGATACATCACATCCGGATTCCCACGCTCGTTGTAGTATATTACGTACCGTCCATCATATGGACAACTTATTGTCTGGTCCTCTGATGGTGTACCGGTCACTTTCTGAATTGCGTGAAAACACAGACTACCGTTGTCTTTTGATGTATCATTGGAAACATAAAGAAAAAATCCCGCGAATCGGTTGTAGTATGCACCAGGACCTAAAAAAGTACAAATGTTCTTCATCAATATTGTATGAACACATGTGATTTTGTCATATTTCAGAAAATTTTGTGACTGCATGCCTGCTTCCCTGTATGAATGTTTAAATTATATCAGATATTGGCTATCAAAATTTTATTTTTACCCTTAATGATTATTATTCTTTTACTGAAAACTTTACAATATTTAAATATACTTTGTACAAAAGAAATGAAGAGGCAAATTGTCAAAAACAAGAAAAAATGGTCGATATTTAAACCTCCCTTGCCACTAAACTCCACGCTCTGAATGCTCAAATGGGCAGTTGCACTGATTAAAAAATATTTTTTTATTCAAATATTCTAATGCATCTACATGTAATGTGAAATATTTTTGTAAAGAATAATGCAGTTATATCAATTAACTATGAGTCATATCTTAGACGCTGTCAGTGTGAAAGACCTCTCATTCACGATAATCTTAAAAACATTACTAGGAAGTTGTGTTGTTTGCCATATTTTACTTTTTCAGTCGCCTGCGTGGCGCAGTCGTTAGAGAATTTCCTCTACAGACGAAGAGTAAGGAGTTGAATCTTAAGTCGCGAGTTCGAATCCCAATGCCAGACGCGGAGTCCTGTCCTTCAGATGAGACCTTATAAACCGAAGTCCCGTGTCGCAGAAGGTGCTGGCACGAAAAAGATCCATACTGCTCAAAGTCTACAATTGCCGAGTGCAGGTGGTGGCGTCTCAATATGAGTGAAAATTCTCAAAGGAACGTTAAACAAACATACAAAACAATTTTTTTCTATAATTAATAACCTCTTCAACCCAAGCGATCGCAACTATGTCGCTCCTTGATGACGGAAACGTTTAGCACTTCTCTTGCTTATAAGTTCCATAGATACTGATTGATTTTGTCAAGCAAGCTTTTTGAAAAGCTATTACTTGTCATTAAAAATTAACTTGATCCGAAGAGCCGCATCACATCTCGTTGTCAAGCGCCGATCATCAGATCAAACTCGACGCTTCGCGTCTCGTTGGATCTGATGATGCGCCCTGTCAACTCGAAAAGATACGACTCTTCGGATCAAGTTACTGTTATATTATTACTATTTATACTTAGTGAAAAAGTTTTTTAAATGCTGACGTTGTCCAAGAGACCTTAGAGGATAGTGTTTCATTTGGCGAACTGTGGGCAAAAATCTACTTTAGGCTAAAAAATCACATACTCACTTTCTACATTTAAACATACCTTACCGAGGTTTAAAACTGCTTACTTGCAACATTATCGGTCCTATAGTAGATGTTGATATAACTTATGCTGACCACTCTCTGTAGATCCACCCACCACATAGCTGTCTGTTCTTTATCTGCCGAAATGGTACACTGATTTCCTCCTGCTGAGCGGTCAGAATATTTTCCGTCCACTGCCTTTGCTGCTCCCCAGTCTACATCTTTACCAGAATCAGGCCAATTATGCTGCTGCCAGGCAGGTCTACGTAAGGCTAAGTTTACTTGCCAAAAAAAATTCATACAGATTTAAATGTCTATGTGGAGTGCAGTAAAGTATAAGGAAGACATTTAAAACAGGGAGAAAAATAACTTACAATAACTACACTGGGGGCCGTGGTAGTTATGAACACAGCCATTTACACAGTTTCCAGTAAATATGTGACACTGCTGTCTCTCACAATTCTTTGGACATGATTGGTTACAAAATGTTCCAAAGTATCCATCTGCACAGCAGCCTATTATAACGAATAAAATGATTCAAGGTCCATTATGTGTATCAAAGTTATAATTTAAACATCCTTCAATACATTTCTGTACCATGCAGAGTTTATGGAATTCTCATATATTCACTTAAAGAGAATTACAATTGACATCACTCTGTGTGTCAGATGTATGTTGTTATCTGGTGGACCTTACCATACACTTCTAATTCACAAAGTTCATTGTATGCATCTAGAGAGTAGTAACTAGGATATGTCACATTCGGTCTTCTTCGCTCATTGTAATATATGACGTAACGTCCATACATGGAGCAGTTTATAGTTTGGTCTTCTGTTGGTGTACCACTGACATTTTGTAATTTATGGAAACAAAGCTTTCCGTGTTCTCTAGAAGTACTGTTTGAAACGTAGAGGAAAAACCCAGCAAATCGTTTAATAAACGAACCTGAAATTGGAAAGGGTAACAAACTCAAAATTAGAAATTCTAAATATAAAAGGAAATAATAATCTTACAGAATAGATAAAATAAATATCGCAAACAACATATACATGTACATATTAGTATAAATGGTGTCTGACAGAGTATATTTAATGTCTTAATCTACTGATCTTTGATTCGCACTCAAATGATAAACTGTGCGGAGGGTAATCTGTAATTAATTACAAATGTACATAACAATAAATACATGTTCATTGAAAGCATTCCTTTTTTTAAATCCCCATTGCAATTCAATGTATATTGAATTAATAACTAAAAATTATATTTATTATAAGTCTTTAACCCTAGTCCTTACCAGTGTATGGAGACTTCACTATGTCAATGAAAATTGAAATATGAAAAATGAAAATGGGACGTAAAACACTATGCAATCCATTAATCTTTTTTTCGGAAATTGATATAATATTTAACATTAAGGGTCAGAAATCATCTTAAACAATCCCTATCTTTATTCCATAAAAGTTCCATTGTTTTTAGCTCACCTGAGCTGAAAGCTTAAGTGAGCTTTTCTGATCACCTATTGCCGTCGTCCGTCCGTCTGTCTGTCTGTCCATCCGTTTGTAAACTTTTCACTTTTTTTTAACTTCTTCTCAAGAACCACTGGGCCAATTTTAACCAAACTTGGTACAAGGCATTCTTGGGTGATGATGAGTTTAAATTGTTAAAAGGGCCAAGTTCCCTTACAAGGGGAGATAATCAAGAAAAGACAAAAAAATGTCGGGGTCATTAAAAAATCTTCTCCTCAAGAATCACTGGGCCAGAAAAGCTGAAACTTATGTGCAAGCATCCTGGGGAAGTGTAGATTCTAAATTGTTTAAATTATGACCCCGAGGGTAGGGTGGGGCCACAATAAGGAATCCAATTTTTACATTGAAATATTTTGGAAAAAATCTTTAGAAATCTTCTCCTCAATAATCACTGGGTCAGAAAAGCTGAAATTTATGTGGAAGCATCCTGGGGTAGTGTAGTCTTTTAAAATTGCTCTATCATGTTCCCCGGGAGTAGGACGGGGCCAAAATAGGGAATCCAATTTTACATTGAAATACATAGAAAAAATCTTTAAAAATCTTCTTCGCAAGAACCACTGGGCTAGAAAAGCTAAAACTTATTTTGGAGCATCCTGGGGTGGTGTAGATTCTAATTTGTTCAAATCATGACCACCGGGGGTAGACTTGGGCCACAATTGGTATTACAAGGGGGGAAATTTGGTGATGAATAGCACAGTCAAAGTTACTCAGGTGAGCGTTGTGGTCCATGAGCCTCTTGTTTATTCTTGTTTTTATTAATGATCAGGAGAAAAAGGTAGGTGAAATTAAAGTTTATCTTATTCAAATGTTAACATACGAGTGTTGTCCCAAAACGTCGTAGACAGGGAAACAATTTAGTTTTTCTTTGCTAATTTATATTTCTTTTCTTTTCATACTTAAAAGCAACATTTTCTGTTCATGAATTTCAAGTTTCATGATAATGAAAAAAATTAATAAGATTGAATGAATGAATTTTGTTTAACGTCCCATTCGAGAATTTTTCACTCGTATAGAGACGTCACCATATATACCGGTGAAGGGCTTCAAATTTTGACCTTAACTCGGTACTCAGGGCCATTGACCAGTGAGGGATCTTTATCGTGCCAACGCCTGCCGTGACACGGGGCCTCGGTTTTTAAGGTTTCATCCGAAGGACCCGCAACTTTCACTTCAAAGTACCGAGCGCATAGCGAAGGAACAGTAGCTACCCATTTTTTTTATCGACTTAGGTCTACCGACTGAGCTACCGAGAACGGTAGGAGCAAAGAAGAAGATTTTTAAAGACTGCATTAATTTTGGTGGTTTTAGCCCCACGCCTCAGGCCCCAGGGGGCAGGGGCCAGGAAGTTCACAATTCAATTTTTGTTCCCCTTCACTCATAGATGCTATATGCCAAAATTGGTTGAAATTGGTTCAGTAGTTTCAGAGAAGAAGCAGAAAATGTTCAAATGTTAACGGATGACGCACGTCGCACCGCATGACGACGGACGAAAACAGATAGTAATAGGTCACCTGAGTGACTCAGGTGATCTAATACATGTAGTATGCATGCGCATATTTATTAGTCGCCCTTTTTATATCCTGAGCATTTACACGCACCAGGATTATTATCTGTTCTGTAATAGATTTTGATATAAGAGATGTTGACTACACTCCCTAGATCCACTCCCCACTCTGCTGTTCTTTGTCCACCTGCTGATATTGTACACTGGTTCCCTGGTGCTGAGCGGTCAGAATATAGACCATCTACCGCCTTGTCTGCTCCCCATTCTGTTTCCTTATCGGGCCAGGCATGATACTGCCAGGTATGTTTATTTAAAGCTAAATTTTCTTGAAAAGAAAAGGTAGGATAATTAAAATGTATACCGGTATTTACTTCAGTGGAAATTAACGAATTCTTGATACACTTCACTTCATAGCAATTACAGTATCTTTATCAAAATATGTAGAACTGGAATGTCTAACTTTTACTGAAAAACGATTTCCCTAACTGGCATGTTGCACCAACACTTAATGATCATTAAAAAGGTCTAAATCAAGAGCAATGTTCATTCCTCCATGGCATCTGATCCCACTCCCAATGTTTTCAAAGGTCCGTGTTTTTCAGCTAACACACTGTGCTCTTCATTGGCTCTCAAGCATGATCACGGTTCGTTATTTTCACATTTCAGGTACAAAATATCTTTCCTACGTTTTGGAAGCTAAGGGAGTACCTCTAAAAATGAACATATTAATCACCTCAAATAATTGATGCAAATTATGAATGAGTTGTAATGATTATTTTCTTACCAATGGCAAAAGTGTATGCCGCAGATGAAAAGAACAGGATAATTCTGAGAATCTTCATGTAATTTTCAGTCTTTTAAATCTCACCCAATGCCTGCAATATGGAAACATATATTTGTATATATAAATAATTGTTAATATAACATTCTTTGATATGTTTTGGACAATACGTAGTAGAAATAGTACGTTAGATTCTAGTTTAAGAGTGTTTAAAGCAATATGAGCTGCATTTTTGAGAATTTTGTTTTGCTGTTAAAATGTTCTGTTATGATAAATCTTTATGTAGCTTAAACCTTTATAATCAATTAGGCTAAAATAAAGTATTAAATTGTTTCAGAACAAAGATTTCTGTACAATTGAATGTATAGTATTATTTAAGAAATCAATATTGTACAGGACTACAATAATATAATTTTGCTTCAATCAAAGTTTATCTATAGTTCTTTCATTGCAAAAGAAGTTTATATAAAAAAAATTCTGTCATAGAAATAGTTCATTACAATATCGCAACAAAATTATCCGACATCAAAGTTGTAGCTAAGATTGCCAGCGAATGGTGTTTATATAGAAGCTATCGATGAGACTTAAGTCTTTTGGTTTGTTGATATAAAAGTGGAAGCGAAAAGCTGCACATGAATTTGAATACTTTTTATACATGTTAAACTGTTTTCAATATTTCAAATAGAGCATAAACCCAGATGAAAGAATTCCAAGCATATTTTGAAAGTTTACTTAAGTTTATTTAAACATTTCTTTTGGAGAGAATGGTTGTGTTCGTGCGTGCTAGTTCCTCTGTAAAACACAAAGTCTTTAATTTACTGCACCACGTGGACTCCAAAAATGACTTTCTTCATAGATAAAAAGCATTGTTTCTATTTATATTAAAGTTTAAAATTAAACAAAGAAACTCATCTCTTTTCATTTTCTTATCTTCAATTAAGTAATTTTCATTTTAGTAATATTTTTATATATCGAACCTTTTTTAAAATTTCACAACGATACAGTTTTACGCCTATTCAGAGTCTAAAGGTGCTAGACACCCCCCCCCCCCCCAAAAAAAAAAAAAAACAAAACAAAACAAAACAAAAAACAAGAGGCCCAGGGGCCACATCGCTCACCTGAGCACTCTGGCTAGGAAAAAGCAAAAATCAGTTCAGTCTTGAAAAGTTTAAATATAAAACTGGTTGGGGGGGGGGGGTAATTTGAACTAACTAGAATCTGTACTTCATAGGGATGCTTTTGAATTAATATGGCAAATATTGGTTTTGCTGTTCTTAAGAAGAAATTTTTTATTTATATATCCTTTGTATTTCTTTGTATAACTATGACCCCCTGTTATGGCCCCTCTATTCTCCTGGGGGGTCATGATTTGTACAAATTTGAATCTAAATTACCTGATGATGCTTCCATATAAATATGACCAATTGTGACTTTGCTGTTCTTGAGAAGAAGATTTTTAAAGATTTTTCCGATGTTTTCTTATGTAAAACTTTGATCGCCCATTGTGGCCCCACCCTACCCCCGGGGGTCATGATTTGAACAAACCTGAATCTACATTACCTGAGGATGCTTCCATATAAATATGACCAATCATGGCTTTGCTGTTCTTGAGAAGAAGATTTTTAAAGATTCTTCCTATATATTCCAATGTAAAACTTTGATTGCCCATTGTGGCCCCACCTTATCCCCGAGGGTCATGATTTAAACAATTTTGAATCTATACTACCTGAAGATGCTTCCATATAAGTCTCATATTTTCAAGCACAGATTCAAGATTTTTAAATGATGCAATTAATTATGAATTCATGAAAAATTATCTCCCCTTGGAAGAAGGAGTGACCCTTCATTTCGAGAAACTTGAATTCCCTTTACCCAAGGATACTTTGTGGCAAGTTTGGTTGAAATTGGCCCAGTGGTTCTTGAGAAGAAGATGAAAATATGAAAAGTTTACGACCACGACGACAACGACAGACCACGGACAAATTTCGATCAGAAAAGCTCACTTGAGCCTTCGGCTCAGGTGAGCTAAAAAAGTGATCCAGTGGTTCCTAGGAAAACCAAAAACTTACAAAAAATACTGAGAATTGAAATAACATATTGGATCATATGTATAACGTGCATTTAAAGAAGGCATAATAAAACTTGCAAGTTATTGCTAAAAGAAACTTTAAATTTATTTTAATAAACTTAAAAAAAAATAAAAAGCCTTGCTTTCTATTATAGCCAAGGACGTCAAAAATCAGATAATATGATGGCGAAATAAAGAAAAATGGTATTATAATGTGCAACATTCAAAGATTGTTAAGGTTTATTCAGGTAATTTTAAAGTTGTTCCAAATCTGTTATCACAACAATTCTTTATCTAATACTGCCTCAAACTGTGCAAAGCTTTTTAAAAGTAGAATAAACCATATTACATATCATACCATCATTTTACCTTGCAGCCGAAGAGCACTATGTACATGTATATATAGTCTGTATGTCCTGAAAATTTATATTCTTAATCTTCTAGTAGATATCGTATAATGCTGAATTCCAATCGAATGAAAAAAAAAAAAACATCCCGCATCTTTATTTATAACATGGTTTGTCCCATCAATAGCTTTTCTGCTGTATGGGAAATTTTTGAACACTCCTATCCCGATCCATGTAATGAAAATTACATGTATGTCCTTTTTTGGCTTCTAGGAGATCTTAATACTAGCTTACGTTTTTTTTTTAATTGAGAAAAAGTTATTATATAAAGGTATACATTTAGGGTTTATGTCGTTCATTTTCAAAGTAGGACATCTGCCATATTTCTTCAGGAAAAATGTACAGTGCATAGTTACAAGTAAACATAAATCACTGCTGTGCTAAAACACGAAATGTAATAACAACGCAAAATGTAATAAACTGGGATTATTACATTTTGCGTAGAGATCAACGCAGGATGTAATAACGCAGAATGTAATAACATGACTTTTGGATTATTACATTTTGCCTTATAACATTCTGCGTTGATCTCGACACAAAATGTAATAATGCACTTTTTGGTTGTTACATTTGGCGTTACTTAATTTTTTCGTTAAGGACAACGCAAAATGTAATAAAACAAAGTGTAATAAAACAAAATATAATTATTTTTTTATATTGTGTTCAACGCAAAACATCACAAAATAGAATAAAACATAGCAATTGGGAAACTTGCTTTACTAAATAGACAGACAGACCTATGATTCTGAGGCAAACGTTATGGCTTTTACGGACATTACTAAATCTAATTGTATATTTTTTCTTACTTTTTTCCTAATAATTTTATTGAATACCTATTAATCATTAATTTAACTTTGATTGACATGTCTATTTATGAATTAGTCTCTATTATATATCCATCACTGACATTCTTAAATACCAAAGACTGACCATGGGTCCATTAAAAGCTCTTGATATGCATGTACGACGTATATGTGTACATTGGTTAGCAAACTATAAGTGTATGTGCATGTGTGTGTCTGGCGAGGAGAAGCGTGAGAGGAGGGGGTTACTTCGTATGTTGATCATTGTATTTGTATGCGCATGTAGAAACGATCCATGTTATTATTGGGAGAGAGAGAAAGATAATTTTATTTTTGCTGGTCTGCAATGCAAGTGATTTGTAAAACATTATGAAATCTTTATTGTCAAGAAACCCCCTTCACGCTATATTTACAACTACCAATAAAAATAAATAGATTTCTTTTATTTTTTTTTCTAAATTTCATGCATGTGCCTATCAAAATGCAAAAGCAAATTGATACACTAATCATCGAAATTACCCCCACCCCACCCACACATACGTGCGCAGGAACGTTTCTAATTTGCAACACCTATGATTTGAATATCAACTGATGTTATATGGCTAATGAAATCAATATATGATGAAATCAGATCTAATGTAAGAATTAGCATATGTATATTTTTCCTTTTGTTTTATTTTCTTTTCGTTTATTTTCTTCATCCACTTCTCAATTGAAAAATATTCTCAACCCGACTGACCAAAAAGTAATAGTACATTTTGCGTAATTGCATTTTGCTTAATATCGACGCAAAATGCAACAACGCAAAATGTAATAATCCAAAAACTGTGTTATTACATTTTGCGTTATTATGTTCCCCAAACGAAGTTTGGGAACATATTGTTTTTACTCTGTTTCTTATTATTAAGTCTTCCGTTCACAACGGAAGACTTATAGTGATTGTATTGTTTCTTTTTATTATTATTATTAAGTCTTCCGTTCACAACGGAAGACTTATAGTGTTTGTATTGTTTCTTTTTATTAAGTCTTCCGTTCACAACGGAAGACTTATAGTGATTGTATTGTTTCTTTTTATTATTATTATTATTATTATTATTCCTCCCAAATTTTGTGAGCTCGATTACTCAGAGATGGTTGGATAGATTTTCACAATTTTTCACATGATAGTAGGCTGATATATGAAGTTTATATAAAATTCCGTTTTTTGAAAAATTCACTTCCGGTCCGAAGTTACGGCCGAATTTCCAATTTTTAAATGGACTTTTGTCCGGAATTTTTCTCGAAAACGGTTTGAGGTAAAGATGTGAAATTTACAGGAGTATTAGATCATGACATTCTCTTTGTTTCGAAGTTGTTTTCGTGTGTTTCCGGTACTTCCTGTCCGAACCGGAAGTGAATATGTGTTTGGTCAATTTTCAACTTTTTTGTTTTTTAATATTTTTTCAAGATATTATTATGTGTAACAGAGGTTATTCTACAAATACTAAATATATAATTTGTTTTAAAATTGGATTGCGCATTTTCTAGATTTTAGGTACCGTCATTTTCCCCATTTACCTAGTGTGTATACAATGGGCAAAGAAAGATAACTCTGACTTGTAAGTGAGAATAGAACTTTCGAGATAAAGGCGGAAATAGTATCTATGACGTCAGAGACATATACACTCTCCATATCAAAAATATTTAGACGTTCCATATGCACTCTTCTAAATGTAAGAGTACGTTGGTTACCGCTTCCAGTGCATGTATAGTTTAAAGTTGCCAATGTAGTGTAAGCCTGTAT